AATGCCTAGAAGTTCAAAACAGTAGTATCGAGGGATTCTGAGGTATTAAAATATTACAAAGAACTTAGTAAAGTGGTCCATTTGCCTTTGATTAAGCTGCACATAATAACAATATTTACTGAGCACTTATTATAGTCTAAGGACTGTTTTGTGTTCTAAACATGAGTACATTTTAAAATTTACTCATTGAATTCTCACACAAAAAGGTGACTCCTTATAGTTGGAATTACAGCAACTTTGTATGAGAGAACGTCATAGTCATATATGCTTTTAGAATTTAAATAGGAAATATTATTTATTGATTAACACTCTTTGATAGGCTCTTTCAAAACCTGGCATCTAAAGGCCAAAATAATTTATGGTAGAATAATTGATGGGAGGAGTCCTGGTGTGGCACTGTAGGATAAGCACTGGACTGTTAACTGCAAGGTTGATCATTCAGACGCACCAGCCACTCCTTGGGAACCCTATTCAGGGTCACTAAGAGTCGAAGCCGACTTGGCACTTAACAACAACAATTTATGGGAAGGTTGAGAACTACAGTTTGGTCTTATTTCTTCTAATAGAATAGGAGGTCCTTGAGGACAATAATGATCACTTCTAGATTCTAGAAGTGGGTTCTGACTCATAGAAACCCTGTATAGAGTTTTTGAAGAACGGCTGGTGAGGTTAAACCACCAACCTTGCAAACTGACCTTTTGGTCCAGTGCATTATCTCACAGTGCCACACCAGGACTCCAATATTTCTTAGTAAGGGTAAAATGCTAAGGCAATGTGATGAAATGAAAGAAACATAGACATGGGAACCAGTAAGATTTCATTTTGAAGCCAAGCTTCACCAGTTTCCAAAATTGAGTATTGAGTTATTACACCAATAAAATTAGAAATAATTATACCCACTTCCAAGAACTATTAATAGAGGTACCTATTAAACCTTACAATCACCAAAAGAGATAATGTACTTAGTGTGCCTGACACATAGCAAGCATTCAGTAACTCTTACTGTAATATCATTAATAATTCAGTACGAACTCTTACCTGCATAACCTGTGATATGCAATTGACACAATCTTGCTTGCTGGAAGTGAACAGGACTTAAAGTACTTACTGAAGAAGATCAAACAGCCTTCAGTACTAAAAATCCTTACAACAGGACCAGTAAATAACATCAGGATAAATGAGTAAAGACTGAAGTTGTCAAACACTTCATTTTGCTGAGGTTCACAATCAGTGCTCATGGAAGCAGCAGCAAGAAATCAAAGGATGTATTGCATTAGGCAAATCTGCTGCAAAAGACCACTTTAACGTAAAGAGTAAAGGTGATACTTTGAGGACTAAGATGAACCTAGTCCAAGTCATGGTATTTCCATTCATCTCATATAATGAATAAGGAAGACAGTAGAAAAATTGATGCATTTGAATTCTGGTGTTGGAGACGAATATTGAAAGTACTATGGACTTGCCAAATGAACAAACAAATCTGTCTTGGAAAAAGTACAGCCAGAATGCTCCCTAGAAGCAAGGATGGTGACACTTTGTCTCTCATTCTTTGGACATGTTGTCAGGAGGGGACCAGTCTCTGGAGAAGGACATCATGTTTGGTAAAGTGGAGAGTCAATGAAAAAGAGAAAGACCCCCCAAAAAGATGGATTGACACAGTGGCAGCAACAACTGGCTCAAGCATAGCAATTTTGAGGCTGGTGCCGGACCAGGCAGTGTTTCATTTTGTTGTGCATAAGGTCTTTATGAGTCTGAACCAGGATTTGGTGGCACCTAACAACATAATTAACAATCCCTTACAGTCATTATCACAGCATTCAGAGAAGAACCTTGAGGCTAAGGAAAGGGAATTGACACTTGTTGGGACTTAGAGACGTTCAGTAAGTTACTCAAGGTTACATAACTAGTGAACAGCAGAGCAAGTATCCCAATTCAGGTCTCATTGGTTCCAAACCCCCAGACCCTGGCCATGGAAACCTGATGCCTCTACTTGTATGCGCCCAGTCCAAAAGAACATAGTGATTTAAACAGGCAGCCTCAATGATTCAGGTCAAAATATACAGGCTGCTTTGAAAAAGATCAGCCCTGAACGACTATACATAGTAAACTATATAAAATCCATATAAAACAAAGATCTACTTTCATGTAGACCAAAAGTTATGCCAATAGTGTGCAGAGTCCACTCTGAAGCTATAAATGAAATAAGATCTAGAATGACCTGCTGGTACTACAAAATGGATTATGCTGGAACATTTCCAACTCACATCTGTGTCCCATCTTCCCAAAATTCCAGGGAGTTATCAGCAGGAAGTCCTGGTGTGGTACTGTGGGCTAATGTGCTGGACTGCAAAGTTGGTTGAACTGCAAGGTCAGTGGTTCAAACTCACCAGATGCTCCTCAGAAACCCTATATAGGGTCGCTATGGGTCGGGACCGGCTTGACAGCACTTAACAACAACAATCAGCAATCAGCATACCCAAGAGGACCACAACCTAACCCAGAAAGTTTAGCTTTGTGTTTCATGTTCCTCATGGGCTGCTTTCTCTTGTGTTCCACCCTCATGCAATCATCACTCTAATCTCTGCTCTCACCCTTGTCTGTATATACCAGCCTCCACACTCCCTTGCCTCATGGAACCGTTATTTTGTTAGCCCACATTCTACAGACTGGCTGCTTTCTAGAATCCTAAGCACCTTGATGGGATTCTATACAGGAGTGTGAGAGAGGACTGTGCCTTGGAAGCAGAAAGACAGAAGATAAATTTCTACCTATGAGTCCTCAGCAGGCCTCAGAGAGACAGCACCTCAAGGGAATAGCTTCTTGGTACATGCAGGGAGCCTGGAACCCAGGCACTAGGGCTCACAGTCTAAGCAGAGATGTCCCACCCAGCCATGACCTGCTGACTCAGAAGCCAGAGATGCCCACCTCCAAGGGACCATGCATGTGGATATGAACAGTAAGGGTAACATGGGCAACCATGATAGATTGAAAGCCCTTCCATAGAATCTCTTCCTCAGCAATAATTCTTAGGTAGTTCTCAAGAAGAGGAGAGACCCTTTAATAATGAATGAGATTGAACTTGCTTCACTTCATTGGGTGGAGGGAATATGGAGGTATAAACTGTCGCCGCTCAGTAAAGTTGTCCTGAGGTACACACTACATAGAATACACAGCAGGTAAAGCACACACTTTATTAGTAGTTAGGAATTTGAAACAAATTCCAGACAAAAGTTGATCTTGTTGATGTAGGTGGAATATTAAGGGGGAACATTTTCTTCAGACTAGAGGCCAACCTAACCTATGCACTGGGCTCCCCTTTTGTTCCTTCCTTGCCTTGTAGCAGCTGCTTTAGGGAAGCAGAGAGCCTGCAGAGAACACATCAAGTGACAAAGAAGGGATCTAGGAGCATACTCAAGAGGGCATGCCTTAGTCCAGTTCTCATCTCATAGCATTGTGGCTCCATTGTCATTGGAATCTACTTTGTTTTTCATCTGCTGTTGTATGGAAAGGTGGTTGAGATAGGACAGTCCAAGGCTGAGGGCTCCAGAGGGTATCCAATATTGCCTCCCAGGCCAGTGGGTTTTTTCAGCCAGGCCTGTAGGCCACTTTCCCGCTCAAGGGAGGAATTCAGCAGAGTACTAGAAAAGTCCTTTCTGATCTTTACCACTGCTCATTTGTCTCACTTGGGATCAATGAGCTCAAGTTCAGCAGTTCACACTCAAGTCCTTCCATGAAAGTCTCTTTATGTTGCCCCCGGAACTGCATAAATGGATTAGGATGTTATTTCCATTGGCTTTACCTGAAGGCCACACTGCATGCAAGGCAAGGGAATCACCTCTGTAATAAAATTAGGCTCTCTGTGTCATTTAACCAAACTCCCCACATCGTGTCATAATGTGTGCACCAGATAATAACATCTAATTCTGACTATCTGTTTAATAAATTAAATCAAATTCCTCAAATTTGCTGTCATTTGTAGGATTTAATACTACAATCTCCCCCTCAACTCTTACAACTTAATCTCTTGTCCAAACTGAGAAATTAAGTTCTAATAAAATCAGTTGACTCTCCCCTTTCCCCACCCCCTTGTTGTTGTTAGGTGACATGGATTCGCTTCTGAGGAGTTGCAGGTGGGTCTTAACTGCTGACCTTGTGGTTAGCAGTCCAGTGCTTACCCTAAAGCACCACACCAGGACTCCTTTCCCCCTAAAATGTGTCAAAACATCTTTTCCCTTGCCTCTCACTTTTCTCAGTTCCAGTCAGTTGGGGGCTCACTCAGCTGAAGGTCACTCAGAGTTGAGGTGTTGTTTCTTTCAACTCTTGAGAGATTTTCTAATGTGACAGGTATAACTTCTTCAACAATTAAGATCCCTGGAGCTCAGAAGCACAAAAACAGGACCTCCCCTATAATGTTGGGGTTTTTTAAGCTAACAAATATTATGATGTATAGTCGTTTACAGAGGAATAACAGCATTTTCCAAGAGAAGCAGTGCTCCTAACATACAATATAACTTGAAATTCTAAAAATACACATTTTTGGGAAAAGGAGGTTAACGATAAAGCAGAAAAGAGGGGGAAAGGGCAGGAGAGTAGGGGTGGGCAAACAGGTTAAGGTGAAAACTGGAAAAGCTTCATGTCTTCAACTTCTCAAGGGTGTAAACCAATCACCATCCGTCATCCAGAATCCACCACCTGAAAATCGAAGTACATTTAGAAGAAGTCTCCTATTGAAAGAGTTAGTGCAGTATTCAAAAGTGGTCCCTCTTTATTAAACTCAATGAATGAAAAGATTAAACTGTGTATTTATGTGGGTGAGTGTGTACCCAAAATAATAACAAAGTGACTAAACTGGGTAATATAATAATGGATTGTTTCATTTTCTAAATGATCATTTTAGTTATCAAATTTTCCATTAATTATTTTTCTTTGCATCAGAAAGGAGCCTCAGGAAATAGATTTTACTGTGGAGTGTGTCTTCATTCTTACTCACCATGCTGAGATCAGTGAGGAGCTTGTCCTGGGTCAAGGTCTCCGCTGTCATCTGTTCTGTAGACTTCCTTGCATTTATAGCAGGCCGTGCGCCATGAAAAATTCTTCCATCCACATGACTGGCACTTCCAAATGGCTGTACTGCTGCCATGGGCAGGCTTCTCCCACTGTTGGGATTCTGAGGCTTTTTTCCCATTTGGTGGCTCGGCCTTTTGCCCCTGAGGCTTCTGTTTCTTTGGGCTGTCTCTCACATCATGGCTTTTGCTGTCCCCCAAGGGCTCTGTCTTCTGGGACCTCCCTGGACCTTCCTCCTGATGGAGGCTACTATTGTTCCCCAGGGGGGCTGTCTCCTGGAACCTCTTTGGACTTTCTTCCTGACTGTTAAACTTGCTGTTTCCCAGGGGAGCCGTGCCGTGGGGGGTGTAAAGACATTCCCCCTGGCCATAGTAACTCTGGTTCCACAGAGGAGGCGTGTGTGCCTGAAAGTCCATCAGAGCATATAGGTGAGGTTGGTATAGCCCTTGAGGTGGCATCTGAAGTGGGGTTGCTGTCGATTCTGCTCCCGTGACTACTACAGGAGCCACTGGGTGTGGTACATGGAATGGGAATGGCTGTGGCCCTGGCATTGGCAAAGGGTGTTGAATTACTGGGGTGAAAGGATTCGGTGGACTGGGCATGTAGGCCATAGGTGCTGTGCCTACCATGGGAGATTCCCCATGCAGCCAGCCTTGTGCCCCCATGGCAATAGTATTTCCATACTGGTCTGCATTCAGGGTCCACGCTTCGGCCCCCTGCGGCTGGGCTTGGGGCTGAGGTACTGTATCCAAGGGTAGTGGGACCCCTTGGGTCGATCTCTCTGTCTGGAGCAGCTGCCCATGCAGTATGTTGCGTTTACTCAGGGCCTGCTCCAGGGCAGCCCGTGTGGAATACAGCCGCTTCTTGGCCTCCTCGTGTTCCTCACGCAGTCGCTGCAGCTCTGCGGTCTTCGCCAAAGACAACTCTTCTTGCCCCTCCATCTTCTCCTGCATACTCAGCACCTGGCGTGCCTGCTGCTCCCACTGCCTAGCGGTCGCACGCACACTCAGGGCCAGCGCACTCCAAGCACAGGCCCTCTTGATGGTGCGGGGCACCTGCGAGTCTACCACAACGGTACTAAGTCGGTCCTCCACTTCTGTCCAGGGCTGCGAGCGGAAGGCCACATAAAATTCGGGGCCGCCATCATTCATGATAATCTCACTGTTGATGAACCTTATCACCTCCCTGTGGCGGAACCCACTCTGACGATCATGGAAATCTATCGCCATGGCAGCTGCGGCCTAGTAAATCCGACCTGCCCCAGGGAACACCTCTGGGGCGGCTGTTACAGGCGATGGTGGCCAACCAATCAGCCCCTCAACTCTTTGCTCAGTCCTAGTTCACTCCTCGCTCAGTCCTGGCCCGCCCCTCAGTCTCTTTTCTACCCCAAGCCTTGGTCCTCCTCACAAAGACTGAAGCCGACTCCCTCACCCCGTCAACCCCTCCAAGGCGACGGCGCCGTGTCACGTCACAGAACTCTGACTTACGTCGCAAGGCCTGCTGGGACCAACTGGCGCCCCTGCATTGAGGGCCGCTAGGAGCGGATCCCAGTTCTGCCTGAGACTCACCTCCCATACTTAACATGGCGTCCTCTTGGAGTGTAGTGAACCCTCAGAAGGGGTTTCCAAGAGCCGCAGGACAACGCCCAGCCACAGAGGATGAATTTCCAACCGCAGGAGTGGAGGGTAGGTGGGTACATGGGAGCTGCTCTTGGCTAAGCTCCTACTCCCATAACTCTCAGTTGCTACTTTAAACCTTTTATGTAGTCCTCAAATGTCTGCAGACTTCCCTCCTTATGCTAAGTAGATGAACTTGGAGTTCCTGCCATGAAGAAAACCATGCAATTGAACCATGAAGTCCCTAAATTCTCCCTACAATTTCACTCTTATGTTTACCCATGGTCTCTGGGGTTTCTTTTTTTTTTTTTTTTTTTGCTTTCAAACGGAAACTTCCCCTCATTGGTTGGATGGGTCCTACAAGAAATGCTAAAGAATCCTTCAGGCTGATATGAATAGAACGCACAAAGAAATAAAGCACACCAGCATAGGCAAATATAAAATACAATATTTGTGTATTTTTGTTGTTGTTGTAACTGTTTTCCCTATGATTTAAGACAATTGTATGAAGCAATAATTATAAATGTATATTGACATATTCACAATATATAAAGTTGAAATTTGTGATGATAGCATTTTTTGTCTTCTATGAAGATTAGTGGTGGTGGTGGTATGACATGGAGTCGGTTCTGACTCATAGTGATCCTGTATAGGGTTTCCGAAGCGGTAAATGTTTACGGGAGCAGAAAGCCTCATCTTTCTCCCATGGAATGGCTGGTAACTTCGAACTACTGACTGCGAGGTTAGCAGCCTGATTTGTAACCACTGAGCTACCAGAGTTCCTTATTCTATGAAGATTAAGGTGGTATAATTCCAAATAGATGTTATAAGTAAATATGTTGATTTAAATTCCTAGAGCAACCATTAAGAAAATAATCATAAAACACAAAGAAAATAAAATGAGACAGAATTCAAAATGATACATTACCAAAAAAAATCAGACACAAAATAAACTGTAACTGAAGAATTGAACAAAAAAGATATAAGACCTATAGAAAACAACAAAACAGAAGTATGTCCTTCCTTATCATTAATTACATTAAATATACAAAGATTGAACTTTCCAATGAAAAGTAAGAAATTAAATAGATTTTTTAAATGATTTGAACATATATTATCTATAAGACACTTACTTGTAGATACAAGGACATAATTAGATTGAAAATAATAGGATGCAATGAGATATTCCATGCAAACAGTACCCCAAAGAGAGCTAGAGTAGGTTTATTAATATCAGACAAAATAGACATTGAAGCCAAAAATTGTTAGGAGAAAAAAAGGATTGAAAGAGTCAATCCATCAAGAAGATACAATAACCTGTGAAAGTCAGAAGCTATGTAAGGTGGAAACCTGTCAGAGAAGAAAACTTCCAATATTGTTCAGTAAACTGAGCAATAGAAAAGTGGTAAGATTACACCCTGTCAAAGGCAGCAAACTTGCAGGATTCTGAAAAACAAGGCAGTCTTTGAGTTCTAGTTCTCATCTGTCTCATTGTATGAGTATATCAAAGATATAAGAAGATACAAATATGGTCTCTTCTGAAGACTATCCCATGTGCACTCCAGAAGAAAGTATCTTCTGGCACTGTTGGGTTGTTGTTAGTGTGCCGTCAAGTCGATTCCTACTCGTAGCAACCCTGTATAGGATTTCCAAGGAGTAGCTGGTGAGTTTAAACCACCGACCTTATAATTTCAACTGACCTTGCAGTTCAATGCTTATCCTACAATGGCAAACCAGGACTCCAATTGTTGGGTAGTGTGTCCCATACCTATAGGACACACTACCCAACAATTGGAGTCCTGGTTTGACGTTGTAGGATAAGCCTACAATATAATATGTAAGCCTACAATGTAATATGTATAATATATATATATATTTGTTGTTGTTGTTGTTAGGTGCCATTGAGTCAGTACCGACTCATAGCGACCCTATGCACAACAGAAAGAAACGCTGCCCAATTCTGGGCCAACCTCACAATTGTTGCCACTCTTGAGCCCATTGATGTTGTCAATTTGCCAATCCATCTTGCTTGGGGTCTTCCTCTTTTTCTCTGACCCTCCACCTTACCACACATGATATCCTTCTCCAGCGACTGGTCCCTCCTGACAATATGTACGAAGTATAAGAGACACAGTTTGGCCATCCTGGCCTCCAAGGAGCACTCTGGCTGTATATGTCCCATACATATACATTGTTGTTGTTGTTTAGTGCCGTTGAGTTGGTTCCTACCCATAGCGACCAGTAGAGTTTCCAAGGAGTGACTAGTGATCTTGAACCACCAACCTTGCAGTTCAAATGGCTTTGCAGTCTGGCGCATTAACCCACAACACCACAACAGAACTCATATATATGTTGTTGTTGTTAGGTGCCATTGAGTCGGTACCAACCCATAGCGATCTTATGCACAGCAGAACAAAACACTGCCCGATCCTGGGCCAACCTCACTACTGTTGCCACGCTTGAGTCCATCGATGCTGCCACTTGGCCAATCCCTGTCATTGGGGGTCTGCCTCTTTTTCTCTGACCTTCCACCTTACCAAACATGATATCCTTCTCCAGTGACTGGTCCCTCCTGACAACATGTCCGAAGTATGAGAGATGAAGTTTGGCCATCCTGGCTATATTTCTTCCAAAACAGATCTGTTGGTTCTTTTGGCAGCCATGGCACTTTCAATATTCTCCTCCAACACCATAACTCAAAAGCATCAATTCTTCTACAGTTTTCCTTATTCACTGTCCAGTTTTCACATGCATGTGAAGTAATTGAAAATACCATGGCTTCAGTCAGGCGCACCTTAGTCCTCAAGCTAACATCTTTGCTCTTCAACACTTTAAAAAGGTCTTGTGCAGCAGATTTGTCTAATGGCAATACGTTATTTGATTTCTTGACTGCTTCTTCCATGAGTGATGATAGTTGATCCAAGAAGAATGAAGTCCTTGACAACTTCAATCTTTTCTCCATTGATAAGAATGTTGTTTATTGGTCCAGTGGTGAGGATTTTTGTTTTCTTTACATTGAGATGCAATCCATACTGAAGGCTGTGGTCTTTGATCTTCATCAGTAAATGTTTTAAGTCTTCTTCACTTTCAGCAAGCAAGGTTGTATCATCTGCGTATTGCAAGTTGTTAATGAGTCTTCCTCCAATCCTGATGCCACGTTTTTCTTCATAGAACCCAGTTTCTCGGATTATTTGCTCAGCATACAGGTTGAATAAGTATGGTGAAAGAATACAAACCTGTCGCACACCTTTCTTAATTTTAAGCCATTCAATGTTCCCATGTTCTGTTTGAACAACTACCTCTTGGTCCAGGTACAGATTTCTCATGAGCACAATTAAGTGTTCCGGAATACTCATACTTCGCAGTGTTGTCCATAACTTGTCATGATCCACTCAATCGAAAGCCTTTGTGTAGTCAATAAAGCACAGGTAAACATCTTTCTGATATTCTCTGCTTTCAGCCAAGATCCATCGGACATCAGCAATGATTTCCCTCGTTCCATGGCCTCTTCTGAATCCAGCTTGAACCTCTGGAAGTTCTCTGTCAATGTATGATTGTAGTTGTTTCTTTGTTACCTTTAGCAAAACTTTACTAGCATGGGATATCAGAGAGATTGCCCGATGATTTCCGCATTCCGTTGGGTCACCTCTCTTTGGAATGGGCACAAATGTGGATCTTTTCCAATCAGTCAGCCAGATCGTTTTCTTCCAAATTTCTTAACAGAGATGAGTGAGTGCCTCCTGTGCCGCCTCACTTTTTTGAAAGATTTCAATTTTCATTCCATCAATTCCTGGTGCCTTGTTCTTTGCCAATTATGTGTGTGTGTGTGTGTGTGTGTGTGTGTGTGTGTGTGAGGTCTAGTTGGTTTATGGTGTTAGTCAAGGCCTCTATTTCCTGACTGATCTGTCTAGTTTTATCTCGTATTGAAAATAGGATATTGAAGCTTTCAAGTATTACTGTCAAACTGTCTATATCTTCCTTCAATTCTGTCAGTTTTTGCTTCTTGTGTTTTGGGACTCTGTTGTTAGGTGCTTATATATTTATAAGTGATAAATCACTTTGATGGAAGGACCATTTTATCATTATATAATATTCTTTATCTTTCAAAAATTTTATCTTAATGCCATTTCTCTAGTAATAAACAGTAGAGAAAGTGTATTGTTGAATCATGTGTTTAAATCCATTTTTTCCATTTCTGCCTTTTTTATTGGAGAATTTAATAATTTATATTTAAAATAATTACTAATAAGGAAGGACTAACTTCTGACATTTTACTATTTGTTTTACGTCTTATATCACTTTTCAATTCCTCTGTTACCACTTTTTTGTGTTTAAAAAAAATTTTTATAGTGCACCATTTTGATTCCCATTTCCTTTACTGCAGGGGTGGAGAACCTTTTTTCTGCCAAAATATATAACATCATCCATGGGCCATACAAAACTATCAACCTAAAAATTGTTGTTGTTATGTGTCATGGAGTAGGTTCCCACTCATAGCGACCCTGTACAGGGTTTCCAAGGATGTAAATCTTTATAGGAGCAGAAAGCCTCATCTTTCTCCCATGAAACAGCTGTAGTTTCGAACTGCTAACCAGGGTTAGCAGCCCAATTCA